CATGTAAGCAAAAACATGATGAAAAGAAGAGGAAGGAGCTTGGGAGCATAAGGAAGGAGCATTGGAGACAAGAGGAATCTTCACGGAGGACAAAAAAATGTGAAAAATCGGATATGATTTGACCTGGAGATCATAAGAGATCAAATAAAGCAAGTGAACATGAGAAAATCAGATTATGTCTTAGACCTAACCACATCACTTCTCCTATAAAAACACCCCTTTTCTTCCTATTTTAGATATTAATTAATCCCCTCTTTCATATACACGTTATTCTTGTACTTTAGGTAGTCTTTTGAGCTTGATTTTGCTCTTGAAGTTTGTTGATTATTAAAATTGTGAGTTATTTTCTTAACTTCTTCCCTTGAATATTAATTCTTCTCTTAATCTATCTCTATATTAATGTTGGGGAGTGTTGCTAAGATGACAATTAGTTAACATCTCGACATTAATTACTACTAGAAATGATCAATGAACCGATGGTTAATCGTTGATGGTTTCAGAAGTAAGTAACTTCGGTTTATTAATGCACGGTCGTGGTTAATAAACTTAAGAAGGATTAATTGTGTTGAGGTTATTAATCTCAATTGATTTCATCAAGGAGTTAAGAGATTAATGCTACTATCAAGTCGGTATATGACGGTGTTCTATACTTGACTAATAGTAAGGGTTATTAATGAACGGTCGTTGTTAATAACTACCCTCGATAAATTGGAGATACTTCTCAATTGAGTATTCGAGATGGGATATCTTATAGATATAATAATGATCGACTAAAATATATCAACAAGTGGAAAGTAGCAAAATCAAGGTTGATTACCTTTGATATTTTATTTCCCTCATTTTAGTATTTTATTTTCTTTCTCAATTATCAAAATTTCCAATTCCCCTTTCCGTTTACTTTTATTTGTTACGCTTACACATACGTAAAAAGCACATTTCCCTGTGGATACGAACTCTACTACGCTATACTACGGTATTAGCCCTTAGTAGTGAATTTAATTTGAGGCACACTACGACAAAGTACTCGTCAGCTATCTTTGTTATGATTCTATTACAGGTCGGGTTCATATAAGTCGTCATGTTACGTTTCATGAGGATATATATCCCTTTCAAAATCTTCCCAAATCTGGTTCAGTTGCTCGGTCTTCCTCCACTCCGTTTCCCATGAAACTCACGGCCATCCCGCCAACCCCGGAACCTATCTAGTCTTCTCCTCCCAGACCGCCCATACACACTGCCAGACCACCTGCTTCCATTCGACCTGCTGCTTTATTACCCTATAATTCTCCTCCACCCTTGACCGAATCTTCAGCCACTAACTCAACCCCTTCCTCCCCATCCCCTCCCAGCACACTTGTCTTGGCCGACGCCTCTATCATAACCCATTCCACTACCTATAGCTCCTTTGCGACCATACCCGAGACCCTACCATCTGCCACCAGTCCCGTTGCTTCACATCCGGTCCTCAATATACATGCCATGCAAACCCGGGCTAAATCGGGTATTTTCAAACCAAAAACAATTTTTAACTTAAGCACAGTTGTTAATCAGACAGATCCTACTTGCTTTACTGAGGCTAATAAACATTTAAAGGGGAGGGAAGCTATGGCTGATGAATTTAATGCATTTATTAATAACAACACCTGGGATTTGGTGCCCTTTGACAATTCTAAGAATATAGTAGGCTGTAAGTGGATTTATAAGACTGAGTATCATTCTGATGGGTCTGTTGAACGGCATAAAGCTCGATTAGTTGCTCAGGGATTTAATCAGCAGGCTGGTATTGACTTCTCCGAAACTTTCAGTCATGTTATTAAACCCACCACAGTTCGTATTGTTCTTACTCTTGCAGTCTCGTTTGGTTGGGTTATACGTCAACTTGACGTTAAAAATGCCTTTTTACATGGACATCTCACTGAGGAAGTCTATATGCGTCAACTCCGTGGTTTTGTTCATCCTCAATTTCCTAATCATATGTGTCGTATGCGCAAGGCTATTTATGGCCTTAAGCAAGCTCCACGGGCATGGTTTCACAGTATCCAATGAGAATACCTACTTTTGTTATATTCTCAATACTAGTATGTATACTCGTGCACTGCACAGGAAAATATGTGCTTAAAGTTCTTATTAAATTGTAGGGAAAATAAATTGTATATGAATTCGTCAATTAATTAGTGTTTAAGAGAAAAATTTAATCGACTATGGATAGAGCTGTCAAAATGAGTCGAAGTCCATAGGGTTAGCCCATTTAATCTCATTTCACGGTGGGTTAGAGTTGTCATTCTTTAATCCGATGAAGTCACCACTTTCGTGGTGCAACTTGCACGAGTTGCAGGTTAAGTGAGTTGACACATACAGGTTGCGAGTAAACCAAAATATAAACATCTATTTTTTATTTTCATTATCTTCAATATTGATGTTTTACCACCAAAATAATTTTCAAATATACTTATTAATTTACAACCCTTGTTGAACTATTATTTCTATATATACTAATTATTCAAATAAATTACTCTAGCATTATTTCTATGTTTTGTTTTGTTTTCCGCATTATTTCTATATATGTACCGAAACATTAGATTTGAAAATGGTAAATTATATATATAAGGTTGAGTTCAAATGAGAAGACACCTTAACGTGTAAAAAAAGAATTTGAATGAGCTCGAATGTTAGATTTAAAAATTGTGCATTATTTGAAATAATAGAAATATGTGCTATCATAAATAAAAAATGTTGTGACATTTTTGTAAAAGTTCAACCTTTCTTGTCCGTTTAAAATTTGCATTATTTGAACTATAAGTGTATTGTACACCTCCATTAAAAATAATGTGCGTCGTTTAAGACCATTAGGCAGTTAGACAATCCAAGCGATGAAATTGGGGAGTGCTAACCCATTTAACAACATGAACATAAATTGTGAAGTATAAATAAATATGTGACAAAAAATGAATCTACCTTTAGACCTTGATTTAGTAGACCTTGTGAATTGATAAATAGATAAGTAATATCACATTTGTCTCATTAAGATCGAGACATGTGCATCTATTAAAAAAGAGTTTATCTAGCTAATGTTGAAATGAAAAGTAGGGACACTAATATAAGAATGATTTAGAACTACATATGCATTATAATATTTGGAGCTACACAAACTTAGTGAACGAAAGAAAAAGAAAATATCGGAGAAAATGAATGAGACAGAGGATGTGATAATTATCATATTTTGGAAACAAATAAGAACCAATTTATAAAAATTTCGAATAAGGGAGAACCTGCAAGAGTTTATGAGAAAAGAAATAGAAGTACGTAGTAATATTTTTATTTTAAGAGTGGCTAAAAATTGTTAATTATTTTTTATTTTTGAGTATTTGAATTTTGTAAGACCGGCGAGTGCAAAATTTTACCTAATTTTATATTGAAAATTATAACAAATATATACACATATATTAATATAAATACATATCTATAATATTGGAATATTTAAGAATAGAGTTTTGGAAGTTGAATAGTTTTTTCTTTAATGACATTTATGTCATTGACATTTTTGGTACTCGACTTCGATTTTTTCCACTTTTAATCCTTGACTATTGCGCTAGAGACACTTCTGGTACCCGTCTTTGAAAATTTCCATATTTAGTCCTTCAACTTTCATAAAAGTGACACATTTGGGCCTTCAACTATTATAATAGTTACTTTTTTAGTCCTTCACTTATTGTGTCAAATTTATAATGGAAGGCCTAAAAGTGTCAATTTGACAATACTCAGGGACTAAATGTGGGAAACCTTGAAGTCAGGGACTAAAAGTGTCTCTAGCACAATAGTCAAGGACTAAAAATGGAACAATTAGAAGTCGAGTACCAAAAGTGTTATTGACATAATAGTCAAGGGACCAAAAATGGCAAAAACTCTTTCTTTAATTTATTGTTTTGACACATGTCACTTTTTCATACAAAGGATGTTGCCACATGTCAACAATTCCTCTAAAGGGTTCTTTAGGGTTTTGCGTTATTATATTATATAGATATAGATATAGATACACGGTGCACAATTACTATGAAAGAAGCATAGATTCAGAGTCCGTTTGGTAACAAAATCGGATGAATCAGTTGATTTTGCTTAAATTTATAAAACTTTGTCTGAAGTGGCTGTATTGGCTGATTTTGTTGGTTTATGAAAAAATTATTTTTAAAATATACTACGTATTTTATTAATAGAATAAAGAAAAAATTATATGAAAATAACTAAAATGATATATACAGTAACTTTAGCCAATATAGCCAGAAAAGTAACTTCAACCTTACTTTTTCTTATTATTGCACAATTCAGCGCGCGAAATCAAAAGTTACGTGGTTAGAAGGTTGGTTTATAAATCTAATAAAGTGAAAAACAAACTCACCAAATGAGCTCTTAAAATGAGCAATAGTTATTGTAAGCAAATTTCTCTACAAACAACACAATTTCACAAATAACCCATAATGTAGCATAAACCAAAATAATTTGGTTAATACCTTTTTTAAGAGGCCGTTTGGCAACACTATTTTTAGGCTTATCAGGCTTATCGGTCAACTTTTTCACCAAACACGTAATTTTTGCTTTCGCGCGCTGAATTGTATAATAAGTAGAAAAAGTAAGGTTGACGTTACTTTTCTGGCTGTATTGGCTGAAGTTACCATAAATGACCATTTGAGCTATTTTTACATATAACTTTTTCTTTATTTTATAAATAAAATATATTTCAAAAATAATTTTTTTTTAAATCAACAGAATTAGTCAATGTAGACACTTTAGCCAAAACTTACTAAATTTCAACAGAATCAATCAAATCAGCTGATTTTGGTGCTACCAAACGGGTTCTAAATGTTTTTATGCCGTTATTCATTAACAACAAGCTTATGCCACACAATGATCTAATTAATTTAGCTAAATTATAATGACAAATGCTAAAAGAATTAAATAATCAATCCTGATTATCATCCTTTCTTTGACTGGGTAGGCAACGCGTGCCACAACTTAGCTCATCAGGATACAGGAAGGCCGAAAAGTCAAACCACCCTTGGGAACCATGGACGGCGGGTTCCTATGGCTATAAACCTAAAAGTTCTTTAAGGCACCGTTGTTTGTCTACTTGGTTTGGTTTGGCTTTTTCTCTCCCACGAAATGAAACCTACCTAGCGCGTCGTGCTTCTTCATTTCTAATCTAATGCGGTATAAGCCAAGCATCGAGCGCTACTGAATTTACCGCTGATCTCTCCATACGGCGCAATGGGCATTTATTACCGGATAGAGGAAAGGGACACTGAGGAAAGAAAAAGGTGGTTTTAGGGTGCAAAAGCTTTGGTGAATCTTCCCACACATCCTCGCATTTCTGGGTCTGAGCCGCATCTTTTCTTTCTGATCTGCTACTTCGTTCTGTTGATTTTCGCCTCCCTGGTATTTGGGCGCTTTCATATTTGCTGGCTTCGTTCATCAAAGGTACAGATCTGTCTCTGAGCTGAGTGTATTCACCTTCAGATCTTGCACAATATTAGGGTCTGCGCTAGAACTCTTGAGACGTTTAGTGCATATTCAGAGTTGACCCTCTATTTTATGCATACTATGCTTCTGATCTTACTGTGATTTGCATCTATTGGACTCATTTCCGGGGAAAGACCCATTTTTGGTGTGTGGGTACTGGGGTAGGAAACCATTTCATTCGTGATTTCGCTATTTTAATTTCTAAAGTTTCTCCTTTGTTTTGTTTACTTTGAGGATAGTATACCGAGGGAGGAGGCTCTTCTTTTCTTGGTGATTCTTGGTCTATGATTGTTTTTTGCACTTGGGATTTTATTTTGATTTCTAGGTGTATTAAATATCTCCTGTGGTGTAAGCTTTTTTTTGGGGGGGGGGGGGGGAGCGGGGGTACTGTGAACAGTTTCCTACTCTTGTAGATTGTTGGAAACATTCCAATTTTTGCAGTCTTTATTACTCCAAACTCTTGGGTTTGTATTGTTGACAAACCTATTACATTCTGCTTTAGTAATAGAATGACTACTTTCCTAGCATTAAGTTTGAACATTCTTTGCACAAGTTATTGTCTTAACACTTATGGAATCATGGTGGTACAACGAAATCAAATTCTGTACTGCAACGAGAAAAATGATAACTTTTTAGTGTAAACAGTAGTTTGGCTCAATTTATCTACAGTTTCTAGGAGAATGGGAATATCAAGCCTTCTTTGCACACAAGAAAGTTTATTGTTCTCCTCTCTACAACTGTGTGGTGGTCGTAACTTAGCTGTTAATCTTGTTTCTCATCTACAATGCTGAAATCAAGAAAGTGAAGTCCACTTTAAGAATCTAAAAAAGATGTGTGAGATAAAAATCATGCCATTTGTCTTACTTTAATATGTCCATGTGATGCTTTAGCTTTTGTTCTTTTTTGGTGCTTACCTTTTTTCCTCTATTGAATGCCTTTCATGCTTCCTATCTGTCTTTTCCATCAACAATTGATTCTCATAGCTAAACCACAACTTCTTTTTCTTTTTGTCCAGTGACAGCCACATTGATTTGCTCTCCTCACCATTTCCAAGATTAGATGTCATTCCGCAGTATAGTTAGGGATGTTAGGGATAGTTTTGGGAGCTTTTCAAGGCGTAGCTTTGATGTGAGGCTTTCCAGTCATCATCACAGGGGAAGATCTTCTAATGGTTCGTTCCAGGACTTAAGTGACCATATCATCCCATTAGTTGAGAACAGCTGTTGGTCAAATCTTCCACCAGAGCTACTTTTTGATGTAATTCGTCGGTTGGAGGAGAGTGAGAGCACATGGCCGACTCGTAGATATGTTGTTGCTTGTGCTGAAGTTTGCAGGTCTTGGAGGAACATGTGTAAGGAAATTGTTAGGGGTCCTGACTTGTGTGGAAAGCTTACTTTCCCAGTTTCACTCAAGCAGGTAGGCCATTTCTAAGTCTGAATTTCTTCTATTTTAATTCCTTCTAGATTTGATTCAAGCCCTAATCCCAAATTCCCAACTATATTGGGGCTGATTACAAGAAACTTTTAGTCATTTTGTTGTCTAAAGTTATTTGACACTACAAAATTATGTAAAAAGGCACAGTGACAAGACTTAGGCTGACACTTTTTCCTTCTTACGGAAAAAATGCCACACTACTAGAATACTATATTTTCAAATTCTTTGCAGAAAATGATTACCATGCCTTGTTACTTTTCATTTTCAGCCTGGATCCCGTGATGGAACCATCCAATGCTTCATCAAGAGGGACAAGTCTAATTTGACATACCATCTTTTCTTGTGTCTTAGTCCTGGTGAGCTAATTTATAAGCTTGCAACTGTATATTTGTATTTTAGTTGCTGTGTACAAAAATGTATCTAAATTATATTCTCTTAGATTTCAGGATCAAGAATCATTTTTGCGAAACTTTACTCCGTAGTTCTTTTTGCTTAAGGGGTTATCTAAAGTGTGTTCATGGGGGCACTTAATAAAAAGCAAATATTAATATCCAATGCTTATAGTTTTGTTAGATTATCCTTGATAACGGTGATAATTTTATAAAGTTCAGTGCATAGTAGTCACGGCGCACGGCGACGGACTTGGCGCAGGGGTAATTTCACGCGGCGTTGGCGATGGCGCTCAAATGGCGCTCCAGTAAAACATAACATTAAAAAAACTTTAAACATATCATATAGACAATATATACGTGTATGACTTAACCACCAATTAAAGAGTGAAATTGTTAAATAACCAAAGTAGTACAAAAAATAATCCAAATCAAACCAACTTAATATCCATAACTAGTTAATGTCTAAAAAACAGAATTTAAAGTTTGATCTTTATGATCTGTTGACTAATAATCATAGTCATTCCCCTCCTCGCTCACGTCTAGTCATCAGACCCATCTTCCTCATCTGACTCGGATAAGAAAGGAACTTCTTCCTCATTTATTTCACTATCAGAAGGATCTTGTATTATATCCATCTCATCTTCATCACGCAACTGATGTAGTGTTGGTGCTCTAGTGTTGTGAGCCGTTTCATTAACGCCAGATGCTTCTTCCACAACATCCCAATTTTCCATTTCATTTTCCTCTGCAGCCTCATCAATCCATTCATTACAATCCTCTAGATCATCTAGGCATATCTTCATTTTCTTAAAAGCCGGATCTTGAAGGCGCTGGTTTTGCCGAATGTAAACTAGATCATTCATTTTTTTGGCAACAACTTTGTTCTTTTCTTGCTTTGGACCTTATATTAAGAGATAATATATTAGTTAATCAGTTATTATTTGTGGAATAAAAATAACTTGGTTTAGAAAATTTACATTCTCAAATGCACTCCAATTTCTTTCACATCCGGATGCACTACATGTTAAACTAAGGATGCGCACTGCAAGATGTTGCAGAGTGGGAGAAGAAGAACCATTTGAAAGCCACCAATCAACTGCATTTCACATATTTATTTAAATAGATTAAATTTCATATTTATTTCGAGATTTGTATGAATAATGTTAATTAATTAATTAAGTTTCATATTTGTATTGATTACCAGGGGGTTGCTTGTCTCGATTGTTGATTGCCTACTTGGTCTGAAAGCTGCCCCTTGCACTTGTATAGTTGGAAATCTCATTTGAGAACTCTACACTTTCACCAATCTCTGTGGGCAGCATCTTCTCCACGCATTTGATAAATCCATCACAAACTTCCGCATCACCCAACACTTGTCGTGAATTCGGATAAAAGAATTGTGGATTTAAATAATATCCCGCGGCATGTAATGGAGAGTGAAGATTCTCATCCCAACGCTTATCGATAATCTTCCACCGGGGCTTGTATTTCTCTTCTCTCCCTTTAAATGTGTTTTTGATTCCGAGTTTTGCTCTCTCCATAGCTTCATATATGAAACCCATAGGAGGCAAATCTCCATCCACAATTCTCAACACCTTCACAAGAGGCAAAGAAATCTTCATAACAAAACCCACACTTCGCCAAAAGGTTTGGCGGTAAACTTCATCACAAACTGCTTTACCCTCTATCGTTTTCGCAAAGTCACTTTCAAACCACTTTGGCGAATTAAACATCTGCCTCAAGGCGTGTTTTTGAGTAAGGAGGCTTTGAAGATTCAAGAAATTCGTAGCAAATCTGGTTGCGGCTGGTTTCACTAACTCCCTCCCATTGGTAAATTCTTTCATCAAATCATGAACAAGAGTGTGATTATAAATGTAGGTAGTAATACCTTGGGTCGCCTTGACCGTTTTTGCTACTATTGGTATTTTCTTTGAAAAATCTTCAAGAATCAGGTCAAGAGAGTGTGTAGCACAACCGGTTGTGAAGATGTGTGGGTATCTTTGCTCAATCTTCCTCTTAGCTAACCCATAATTTTTAGCATTATCTGTCACAACCTGTATCACACTTTGCGGCACGATTTCTTGAATCCACTCATCAAACAACTTAAGCAGAGCTTCACCAGTCTTCTTATATGAAGAAGCATCAATGGATTTCATGAAAATAGTCCCCTTGCTGGAATTGACACAAAAATTTACAAGAGTTCTGTGTCGTTTGTCTTGCCAACCATCAGACATTATGGTGCAACCATCCAGCTCCCAAAATTTCTTATGCTCCCTTACGACGTCATCAGTTTTCTCCACCTCCATACGTAAAAATTTCTCCCTCACCTCATGATATGTAGGTGCCTTAAACCCAGCCCCAAATCTCCCTATCGTTTCGAGCGTGTCTTTAAACAACGGATCACGAACCGTATTAAATGCGATGCAATTTCTATACATCCACAAGCATAAGCTTTGCGCATATTCTTCCCGCTCTTTTGTTTTCATCTTCGATGGGATCGTAGATTGGATCAAGTCCCCCTTCTTTCTCTTCTTTGTTGGATAAACAAACTTATCCATCGGCCCACTACCACCTGCTCCCACTAGATTTGAAGAACCTCCGGTTATCTCGAAGTCCTCATCTTCACTGTCATGCTCTGCATTAGATCCTGACTGCCCTACAGTGTATGTACTTCGAAATGTATTTTGAAGTACGTTTGTATCAGTCCGTGAACTAGCTTCTTTCAAAACAAACACTTGTAGGGCTGCCTTCTTATCTGCCGGGATTATGTCGCATTTTCTGGTGTTTTTGTGATTCCCTGCCAAGTGCTGTTTCATTCTTGTAATCCCCCTTTAGTCACATGCCCACAGAAGTTGCATTTGAAAGCATTATTGTCATTCTCATTCACCTTTTTGCAAAACTCCTTTGCATAGGCACTTGACATTCTGAATAAAGAAACATAAAACATTAATCAAACTCCCAAAAGTTATGTACTGCACACTGTGAAGTCTGTGAGTTTGTGACTATCAAACTGTTTTAACACTTTAATCAAGCATTGTGAAAGAAACAAACATAAAACATTAATCAAGCATTTCAAATTTCAGTACTAAACACACTTTGAGTTTGTGCCTATTAAACTCCCAGTAACCATAAGTAAAACATATCAAATGCTCACGCAAATGCTTAATAAGTTAATAAACATAATATACATAATAAACTTATTAAATGCTTAATATAAAATACAGTATATAATGTATATTAGTAAAATAACATAAAAATATAGAAGAGTACTTATTATTATCACTGTTGTAGGGTGTTACAACATTAATTATGCAAATTTCTTTCAGTATACTCTATCAGGAACACTGCAAAAACATTCTAAGTTTCTTACAAAATATTTCCTAAGATATCATGATTAACTAAATGCCCACAACGTCTACTCGTCCAAAATATTGGACAGACATATGAAGCTAAAGAAGCTAAAGAATGCCCTGACTACTTTGGGTGGATCCATGAAGACTTACTGCCATGGAAAATTCATATACAAACATACATAATACGTGGTATATAATAAATTAATAATTATGAATATCACTTAATGAGACCATCACATACAAAAACAAAAAAACAGTAACATACATACTACATCATACAAAATATATTTAAACAGAGGTATAAGCTGAAACAGATGTATAAGCTCAAACAGAGGAACACAATCACACATATTTAAACAGAGGTATAAGCTCAAACTCGAAAATAATTTCTGGGAGGAATTACCTGGGTGGTCGCAGGATGAGCGCTGGGTGTCGAAGCTATCTGGCCGCTCCGTCAAGACTCGTCTCTCAGTAGCACAAAGCCGCAAATTCAGAGGTTTTTTTAAAGAGCTTAGATACAGAGAAACGAGAGTGATTTTTGGTATTATTAGCCATTGTTTGTTTTTATGTTCAGAGTCACGTTACTGGTAGGGCTGGGAGTCTCGCAGAGTCCATAAATACTCTGGGCCGTATTTTTTTTAAAAATAAATGCCATTTTTGGCGTTAAACGGCGAAGGCGAGGCGATGGCGCTACTTTAGCGTCGCCTACTGTAACCCCAGCGCTAAAGCCATATTTCCTGGCGAGGAGATCCAAAATCGCCAAAGGCGAGAATTGGCGCTCGCCATTAACGCCATTGACTACTATGGTTCAGTGGTAATTGTTTGTATTTCTTACTTTTTTTCTTGAATATATGAAATCCTTTCTTGAATCTTGAAAATGAAACACCTTAATTATTCCTTATCATTTTCACATGGGCATGCATCAGATTTTTTAAAGATAGATGCAATTATTACTATGTGAGATTATTGATACCTGTTGTCACATGACTTTTTAGCTTTGGTGGTTGAAAATGGGAAGTTTCTTCTCTCAGCAAAAAGAACACGTCGGACAACATGCACAGAATATATCATATCAATGAATGCAGAAAATATCTCTCAATCAAGCAACAACTATATTGGGAAACTAAGGTAAATAGTTATCCCGTCCTCTTATCTCAGGTTTCTGTTTTTACTCTGAAGTTTTGCAATATTTGTGTGGCAATGTAGTCCCTCACATTGTATATTTACTCCATCAGTTATGTAATAAGTTGCCAATTAAGTCATCCCTCACCCCATAATGCTAACATAGTAACACCATTATTCAGAACATAAAATAATAGGAGATACAGTCTCCTATGAAATTGAATAAGATTCCCAATTTGAATGACACCATCATTGGTAATTTATTCAATAATGGATGGACTGAATCAAGGTTGTTAATTTCGCGATTTGAATCGTAAAATCGTAGATTCAAAGTCACCCAAACGATTCAACTCACATACAAAATTGCATTTGAACAAAATCGTATTTAAATCATTACTAATCATTTAAAATCGCGATATTCATGTGATATTACGACTTTATTTCAAGCTCAGCCTGAATAAATCAGGCCTGGGGAAGGCCAAAATCAGGTCTGTCGGACCCGCAACATACTATATAGATGCCGCTGGCCTTCTGTGATGGGAGAAGAAGATCATCATTTATAAGAGTTCTGGGAGGAGCAAAACCCTCCCACTTCCCGTGTGGGATAGCAAGTAAATGAGAAAAAGAACAAAACTCTTGAAAATGTGAAAAGAAAAATTGATAGTAATAATCTCAACTATTGGCGGTCCGCTCATAATAATCCCAACTATTGATTATTTCAGAATAATCTGAACTTTAGGGACCTTCCGCCATTAATGGTCCAATGTGACCAGCTATAAATAAATTCCTATAGTTTCTAAAGTGGATGAGAAGATATATAACAAGTAATCCCTATAAATAATCCCAACTTTTAATTTTTACGCATAATTTCTATTTGAAATTCACTTGTTATTTGACCACGGACCATTATTGGCAGACGATATAGTTGGGATTATACAAAAATAATCAATAGTTGGGATTCTTGTTAGCGGGCCGGCAATAGTTGGGATTATTATTTTCAATTTTTCCAATGTAAAATTACAGCCTTTGGTTATATTGGAGAGATTCAAACCTACACCTTAGCCCTCCTTCCGCCTCTATTATACCAACTCACCAGCAAATAGCAATAGAAGTTGCAAATTATTGAATTCTAAACTGATATATTATTCTAGTATTCTAATATAGTATTCTAATATAGTATTTTGATTTGACTTAATGATGTTAAATTGTGGGTTTTCTTTTGTCTAATCTTTTTAAATATTTTTATTTTTTTACTTTTTATAAAATTTTACTATCGTATGATTTATGGTTCGATGTTATGATTCGATTTTTAAATCTCTCTACCGATTCAATTCAATACGATTCTAACAACCTTGGACTGAATTGCACCAAATTGACATTGATGAATCAAAGTATTGATTTTCCATGTAAACCAGTTTTTATCCATATAAATGCACTCACATTTTATAAATACCTTCCATATCTTGTAAAATTTCTGCTTAACATTTAATTTTTTTACTGGATAACATTGTGGGACAATGCAACTGTTTGTTACAGATCAAATTTTTTGGGGACAAAGTTCATCATATATGATACACAGCCGCAAAGCACGAGCAGTAGTGCTCACATTCTTCCTGAACCAGGACGAACAAGCCGTAGATTCTATTCCAAGAAAGTCTCACCCAAAGTCCCTACAGGCAGCTACAGCATAGCGCACCTCACATACGAGTTAAATGTGCTCGGAACGAGGGGTCCACGGAGAATGCACTGTATCATGCACTCAATCCCTTCTTCAGCACTCGATGCTGGCGGCACAGTTCCGGGACAGCCTGCTGAGCTCCTCCAGAGGTCCCTCCTTGACGATTCCTTTCGGACCGCCTCTTTCTCTAATAAATCTCTTCTAGATCCTTCCGCTGAGTTCAGCTCTGCCCGGTTTTCTGACATTGGAATAGCATCTTCATCCAATGAAGGCGATGATGTTGGTGGAAAGGTGAAGCCGTTGGTTCTCAAGAACAAGGCACCACGTTGGCATGAACAGTTGCAGTGTTGGTGCCTTAATTTTAGGGGAAGGGTTACTGTTGCATCTGTGAAGAATTTCCAGTTGATTGCCGCCACCGCTGGTGCACCACAACCACCAGTACCTGGTGGTGGAGCACCCCCAACAGTGGCAGCCGCCTCGCAGCAGCAGCAGTCGCAAAGCCAGCCGTCAGATCATGATAAGGTCATTCTGCAATTCGGGAAAGTTGGTAAAGATATGTTTACCATGGATTACAGATACCCGTTGTCTGCATTCCAGGCTTTTGCTATCTGCTTGAGCAGCTTTGATGCCAAATTGGCTTGTGAATAGATGAAGAACAAGCAAAGACCACCTTCATATTAGAGGGGGTGTTTGATTTATTACGTAGATGCTGTAATTCCTGCTTGTATTTTTCTTTTTCATTAAAACTAGAACTTGTTGAAATTGCTGTGACATCTCAAGCTTTTGTTTTGTTCAGTCATAACATTTATTTTTACTGGCTTCTTCTTCCCTTTAATACAATGCCATCGATGGATCTGTGACAGGACAGGCTTTCATCCGGCCTCAACCCAAACCTTTGTTGGCTCCGAAATGGTCTTGGTGAATAGGTGGTCCGACTCCATTTCATCCGAATAGGTAGTCCTGTTTTTGAGGCTAAAGCCAGGTAGGAACCAATCTGTAATCGGATGTGGAGTAGCTTAATCCCACCTGACCTATTTATGGTGTTACTGGTTCCGCAAGTCGTTATTTGGCTGCCAAATTTGAACTTTTGACAGAGTATTTATTCACATGTTTATTTGGAGAACATTTATTCACATGTTCTTAGTCATGGACCCGGGCCGGGCACGGCCGGGCTTTTTTTTGGGAAGGAAGGCCCGGGACCGGCCCGGGTAGCCACCGGGTCCGGGCCGGGCCGGGCCGGGCCTCCGGTTTGGTCATTTTTTTTTTTTTTTTTTTTTTTTTTTTGCTTTCTTAACCCCCCCCCCCCCCACCCCCCCCAAACCCCTCCTAACCATCAACCCAACCCGGGTAACCCCAAAAACGAAAAAAAAAAATAAAAAAAATCAATTCGGCCCGGACCCAGGCCTGACCCGGCCGGGCCGGTTCACCAAATACAGGGCCCGAGCCCGGACCTGCCTCCCCACCGGGCCTAGGCCCGACCCGGACCCAGACTCGAGAACTGGGCCGGTTCCGGTTCCGCACAGTAGCGGGCCGGGCCGAGCGGCCCAAACTGGGTCCATGACTACATGTTCTTCGGTTTGAAATTAAAAGTGCCTCAAAGTATTGTAGGATGGTACAACATCTTTACGTGATGCCGTGATGGTACCAAATGTTGTTTTGCATTATCAATTTATCACACTAGACCAGTGGTGTACCTGACCTGGTTGTTTGGCCAGTTTTAGACTGTAATAGGATACCTGTTAAGTGTTAACCAAGTCATGGGAGGAGCTAGGATTTCATTAGAGGGGCCTAGGCATGGACCGGTTCTGGGTTGAGCTCCGGGCCGGTCCAAACTGGGCTTTTATTTTTTGGGGACGGGCCCGGAACCGGCCCGGGATGCCACTGGGTCCGGACCGGGCCTCAGGCCGGTTCATTTTTTTCTTCTTTTCTAATTAACCCCCGACCCCCCCCCCCCCCTCCTCAGCCCCACCCCCCAAAAACACCCAGCCCAACCCAGGAAAAACAAAAAAATTGAAAAACAAATGCCTGAACCGGGCCCGACCTGGCCGGTTCCAAAAAAAGGGTAGGCCCGGAACCGTCCTGCTCTAACACCACGGGCCGGTCCTAGGTTCCGTTCCCGGTCTGGTTCACTGGGCCGGTCCGGGTCTGCACAGTGGCGGGCCGGGCTGACCGAAACCGCTCCATCTCTAGAGGGGCCATAATGAAATACAAACTATCAAATACTTATAAATATAAATACAATAACATACTCCGTAGTCCGTATTGTATTAAAATTGGCGGTACTTATAAATACAATAACATACTCCGTAGTCCATATTGTATTAAAATTGGTGGTTGATTTGAATTCTTTGAGACTTTGTAGGAAAATAAGAGTGAGAAAGCTTCTAAGTGTTGGATCTCGCCTTTTGCATCCCGTTCGGGGCCCGATGTTGCATCCTGTTTGGGGCGCGATGGGTATCTCGCTGAGCCTGACCTGGTTCCAAACGTGAGTGTGGGGGCCATTGTGCTGAATGGGCCAGTCACGGAAGGTATTTGGGTCCGCCCGTCGTTGGACGCAATACCCAACACTCAATATATCAATATTTTAAGATGTACCACGAATTATATTGCGATGCACAGTTTTAAAAAAAAGTTACTTTATGTTTAGATAATGATAAAATTTTTTAATTTTATTTGCATGGATATGTTTAAATAGAGGGCACTTCATATCAGGCCGGCTTGATGGGAACTGTCGTCAGGCCGAGGCTATTTGGGCAGGGGCGGATCTAGCGTTGCCATTCAGGTGGGGCCAAAATCTAGGATGTTTTTACTTGGATTGTAATTTGCTAGTCTGGTCTGGTCTGAATTGGTCTGGTCTGGTCTCTTTGTATTTTTATAACTATCCAAGTCTCGTATGGTCTGGTCTGATATGGTTTGGTCTGGTCTGGTCTGGGACAAATTACAGTCCAAGTAAAAACATCCTTAATTGAATAATGTATATTGCAAAAAAAATTAGTTTGACTTGACACGATTATTAGTGAAATGTTTGAAAAAGTAAAAATTGTTGTTAAGATTTGAGTATAATAAAGTGAAATGATGTAGGCCACATATTTCTTTCCAAAAAAGGAAGAAGACACTTATTTTGGGACAAAATAAAAAGGAGAGTAAGATAGATAAAATGGAACAGAGAGAGTAGTATGTTATTTGACAAATTTATTTTCAAATATAAAATAAAAGTTGTTGCAACTTAAATGTCAAAGAAAAAAACAATTAAATAAATATAACAGTAATAGAAATTTTGTTGAATACAAAAAGCACCTCAAACACATACGTATATAGAACTACTTTTCACCAACCAAGACCAATAATTCTTTAGGCTAATATTCAAAATCCCAAAAACGTTCACAATATTACGTAGTAGGGAGTAGTATTTAGCTCATTCACAAAATTGTTATCTAGCCCAAAAACGTAGTATATGTTTCAAAAAGAGTTCTTCAAACATGAGCTTCGGACAAAGAGATTTTAGAAGGAAAAAAACTGAAAATTTTACACCCTAGGCTATAGGAAATTGAAAAGTTAAAAAGTTATGCTCAATATAAGCTTCGAACTCAGGACGTCAAGTGAACAAGGCTGTACAAAATGGACTGCTTCCATCTTGCTAACACGGTAGTTATGTACAAATTGACTTCTTTTGTAATTATATCATTACTTAACAACAATATATATAATATAATACTTATATATACTAGTAATTTTATTTTTTTTGAGGTTGGGCCTAGGCCCTGCCTAGCCTATAGTCAGATCCGCCCCTGTATTTGGGGTCATTTCTGGTCAGTGGCGGAACTAGAGGGGGGTGAGCCGGTGCTGGCGCTCCCATTCGCCAGAATAGCTAAGGTAGATATATGGATTGTTTGCACTACGCCCCTGGAGATTATCGTCTTCTTTCTTGGTTCGCCAACCTGTTTATTTGCGCCCTTGCTGCGCTAAAAGGAGTGAACAACGTAAAAGTTCCCTAGGTTTATTTCATTTAGTCCAACAGCGACGTTTGATTAGTATGTAGTAGTATAAACAACTGCAGAGTAATAAACACATTGGGAATTTTCCGATGTACTAAAAAAAATAAACATATTGGGCTTCTGGCCGGCCCAAATCACTGAATTCATCAAACCTGTAGCCCTTACTCCGTAACTAAGATATTCGGTGTCTGCATTTCTATTAGAGTGGCTTAATTCAGCAAAGCCGTACTGGAGTATTTTCAACGGAGTATGTATTGCTTATTTGCTTACATGTCATGTTAATTATTATGCTATAATAAAAGTATATATTTGAAATGAATTAAAATATACTATTAAAGTATTAAGGGGTATTTGGAACTAATACACATGCCCCCAATGACTTTCTAATTTTTTAATACTATATACTCCATTAATATTAAAAAACAAAGTGTGCCCCCAATGAAAATAATGGGGGACCCCATTAAAATATTAGACACTCACTCATTGTTAAGTTAATTCCAAGACTCCAAGGCTCTAAAGATGTTTTTACTTGGACTGTAATTTGCTGGTCTGGTCTGATCTGGTCTGGTCTGGTTTCTTTGTATTTTTATAACTATCCAAGTCTGATCTGGTCTGGTCTGGTCTGAGACGAATTACAGTCCAAGTAATAAGGTGATAGTGTCATACGGTCCATAGTCTTTATTCTTTCTTTAAGTTTTAAGTTCTTACACTTTTTTCTAAATTTAATTCATAGAAGATATTCCATAGTCAATAGACTCAATAATGGATAGGGATTACGGTAGCAACATGAATATTAAGATGTCTGCATCTCTTAGAAATCCACCCTATTGTTGCCTACTGAACAAGCAAAAACGTTGAATCTTAGAATTTTCTAACCATCTCCTTTTTCATATTTCACTTCGTAACTAAGTAATTAGTTATTAGGAATTTACTAATATACTACGTATTCTTTTACATTATTTTGTTAATTGATTAGAGTTTTCAGATTAGAGTTTTCAGATATCGATTAATTAATTAGAGTTTCCCAATTAGAGTTTTCAGGTTTTATTAGTTAATTAGAGTTTTCATATCTTGATTATTAGAATTTAATTATAAATTTAATTTATCTTGTGTGTTTAGACTTTAGAGTGTGTTATTTAGTTCGTAGAATTTTAAATTTCGATGACATCTTAATCACATAGTCGTGTGAATTTGATTTTTTATTTATTAGTTGATTACGATTCTTGTTTGGGCAGATTAAACATAAGTATTTAAACATATTTTTTGGGTAAATGAAGTATAATTTTTAAAACTTAATTTCTTTGTATAAATTAAACAATGACAACGCGATTCTATAAAACAAAAATATTGCCTCCATTCAAGCAAAGCGGGGATGCGGGACAAAGTGCAAGTGCTAATGTACTCCCTCTATCCCATAGAGAAGTTCCTATTACGTTTTATGATGTTTGAATGACGATAAAACAACTTAATCCTTGTTCACACTCTGTTGACGGAGTATATATTTTCTAGTTTGCTAACATCTGATTTTTCCATCTGTCCAAGTTATTTTATACTACGTACGTTTTAGAAATTTTCTCACTTCTACTTAATTGGTGCCCCCAATAGTCGAATTTTCTAGATCCGGCCATGAAATCAGAATCAGTTTAAAAAAACTGATTCTAGGAGTAAATTAGAGCACCTAAATCACTTCTGCACTTTCACCCAAACACTTCAGCTTCTGTTTCTGCTCTCTGAAGGAGCAGAAACAGTTATACGAATCAGATCCAAACACCCCTAAACATTACTAAATTAAGGGTTGTAAGTATGTAACTTGAATTGCAAGGC